CTCCCCACAGGTTAATCTCCACCCCCCACCGCCCATGATTGTTCTACAAATTTTACTTAATTTTAGCATGACAGAATTTAATCCATATTAATAATTATTTCTAAAGAGAAATTTCCTGCATGGCATTGCTGAATATTATCCACTGGTTGTATAGAGGGAGCTCAAATAATCAATGATTAAGTGATAATTAATAACTAAGTAATTAATCATCTTATTGGTTTCTGGTGCATTGGAAAAGGGGATAGTACTTAACATACAATATAGGAAATTACACAAGACTGAAAAGAGCACAAAAACTATTGCTTCATTTGCAATCCATATTGCGTTCTTTAGCTGAAAAAAGAGCTTGAAATTTTGAGACAGAGGGGAGTTAATGCCCTTCAGAGTGCCATCTAGTGGCATGTAGGAATGCGTCCAGAACTTCTCGGAGCAGAACCTCTCTCATTCCAGAAAAGACCATCTACATGTGGCCTATGCTGCACAACAGAAACTCATAAGGGTTCTATTAGTTTTTAGTTGCTCCCTGTTTCATACTTCCACCTTCCTATTTGTAATACCAGTTCTCTTATGTTAGCCCCTAACTTCAAGTCACTCCTCCTTAACAGTACTTGACATGACTTTACATATTTCTCAGGACACTCTTAGCCCCTCCATCTTGAACTGCAATTGTATCTCTGTCATAGGCACCATCTCCATGAGTGTTTTGGGGCTTGAAAAAATTAGTGGGTGCTTAGCACCCATTGGCAGCCAACCTTTCCATCAGCAGCCTTGAGAATCAAGTGCTTCCAGCTTGTTCACAGTATGAAGTCTAGGAGGAATAGGAAGGAGAAGGGACAGAGTAAGCTCGAGGGGGGAGGAAGGAGGGAGGCAGGAAGAAGTATCATGGGTGGGGCTAGGGGGAAAGGGTCAGGGCCTGGGCAATCCCGTCTCCCCTGAGGAAGCCAGTGTCTATGATCTATGTGCAATCACTAAGTCCTTTTTTGATTCCATATACAAGAACCCAAATTCTCCAGCTCAATTCCATTCTCTATGCAGTCTTTGTTGTAGCCAGGTTGACCCTAAGATATTAGAAATACTAGGTGGGTGACATAACTTTTACTGGTCCAATCTCTGTTGGGGAGAGAGACAAGCTTTTGAGTTATTTTTAAGAAAGGTGCTCAGTGTCACAGCTAAACACAGGGTGAAGCAGATTGTTTGACAAGTGGTTAGCGCACACGTAAAAGGACCATTCAAAGTGAATTGGCCTACTAACACCTCGAAAAGGAGAAAAAAAAATCAAACATGGGGCAACTGCATAACACCTTCAAAAGACAAGCCTGGGAGCTTAAATTCATAATTTTGCTAGACACTAAAAATCATGGACAGAAGAAAGACACTGAATTTATGCAAAAAAAAATCAAGAAGTCCTGTGGCATCTTGAAGGCTAAGATTTAATTGGGCATAAGCATCCTTGGGTCAAAACCACTTCGTCAGATGCATGGCCCCACGTGTGAGGTGTGTTCCTATGCATCGGATGAACAGGTTTTGACCCACAAAAGCTTATGCCCAAATAAATCTGTTAGGGTATGTCTACACTACAGTGTTATTTCAAAATATATTATTTTAAAATAGTTATTTCGAAATATCTTATTTTGAAATAATGCATCTACACACAAAATGCATTTCGAAATAGAATTTTGCTATTTCAAAATAGCACATCCACACTGAGTGGACTCTAAATCGCATTTAAGGCTGGCTGGAACCAGTTCCAGCAGGGCACCAGGTCAGGACTTAGCCTCAGGCAGCAGCCCCTCACAGTATCTGAGGTCTATGCTTAAAGAGACACCCCCGTCTCCCCCAGACAGCCAGTTCTCAGGTTTCCCTGCTTGCTTGTCTACCTCGATGAGGGACAGCAAAGCATTTTGTCTCTGCGTGCTCTGGTTTCCCTCACTCAGGACACCACAGCACTCTGCAAAATGGAGCCAGAGCTGCCCCTGGGCACTCTGGTGCTTCTCTTAGACGACGCGTTGCTCAAAGCCTGGCTGCACTTTCTGCAGGCTGCCATCCAGGAGGTCCATCGGGGGACTGTCAGTATCCAAGAGACCCTGCGGGAGAGCTTCCACCCTAAGGAGCATTAAGAGTCTCCCTGGTCTGCCCCACTGGGCGCTTGTGCCTCATTCCTCCCTCACGTCCTTCCACTTACCCCTCCCTAAACTCCCTTCCTGATGTAAAACAAAATACACGTATTTTCATGAACACAAACTCTCTTTATTCAACAAAACTGGGGGGGAGGGAATGAAACTGGTGAGACTGGGGAAAGGAGGCAGGAGAGGGGAGAAGAGAGGGTAGAAGAGGGGAGGAGGAAACCTGGGAGGAGGGAGCTGGAAGGGGGAAGCAAGGGGAAGGGGAAGCTCAGGGCTCAGGGTTGGGGGGTCTCGCCAGACCATCTTGATTGGCATGCAAACCTGCTCTTGGGTTCGCAAGTGGCCTTTGGTGGCCAGGCTGGCAGCTATCCTGCCATAGACGGCCATGTTCCTCTGTCTAGTGTGGAGATCATGGACGTTGGGGGCATTCCCCCCCCAGAACCTGAATAAGTTCCATGATCTCCACCCTGGACCAGGGAAGGCGCCCGCCTTCTCTGGGCCCTGGCAGGCTCCTGGGAGCTGGCAAACTGCTCCTGGGGAGCGGTGGAGGGCTGGCTGCCAGTGGCTTGCTGGCTCATGTTTTGGGGCCACTGGGTCAGGAACAGGGTCTGCTGGCTCGGGGCTGGCAGGCTTGGAGCTGGCACAGGCACTGTGGCCTGAGTCTAGCCCTTTAAGGGCTCTGGGGAGGGGGGAGGTGGGGAGTGTACTTGGCTGAGGCTGGAGTGGCCACCAGGGCACCCTGGGAAGGCTGGAGGCCCCCTATTTCGAAATAAGTGTCTATACAGCATTTATGTTGAAATAGCTATTTCGAATTTGGTGTTATTCCTCGTAGAATAAGGTTTACCAAATTCAAAATAAGTGCTCCGCTATTTCGAATTTATTTCGAAATAGCGGTTTGAATGTGTAGACGCTAGGAAAGTTATTTCAAAATAAGAGCTGTTATTTTGAAATAACTTTGCTGTGTAGACGTACCCTTAGTCTTTAATGTGCCACAGGACTCTCTGATTTTGCAGATACAGACTAACATGGCTACTTGCTCTGATCCTGAACGTATGGTTTATTACAACAAATCTATAACCTACTTAATGCCCCCACCTCTAGCTCCATCCCTCTGTCCCCCTTATGACTGGAAAGAGTTAACTGGCCACTTTACCTCGAACAGTCCCTTTTACTAAACAATCTATCCCATCTTGCATGAGACTGAGCACATATTCCAAGTTCTTTGTAAGCTCAAAGGCTTGTCTCTTGCACCAACAGAAATGGAGCCAATAAAAGATATTACCTCATCCATCTTGGCACTCTATTATGTTGTCTAATTGATTTTTGCACTTGAATCCGTTACTCTCTAGCTCAAGTTTCAATGGAAGCTCTCCTGGCTTAAAAGAAGCTGCTTTTACTGGCAAGGGAACACATCTTTACCTGTAGGCCAATCTGAAGTGCTAGATCTTCTGGCTCCCTTTTTCCTGATTCTGTATTGCTGAGAATAGTCCACCATTTCCCCTCGAGCTTTCCGCCCATCAGGGGAAGGAGTGAAGAATTTGGTAAGGCCATCAATAAGCCCTTTGGTTTTCTTGTTAAATTTCAAGGTGGTGCCACTATCTCTGCAGAATTCCAGGCCATCTAGCCGTTCCAGGTATCCTTCGGCCGATGATGCTGATTGGCTGGATAGTGTGATCTTGCGCTTCCGGCCCCGACCAGGGCCAGTTCGAACTTTGTTGAAGGGGCCTTTTGATCTAAAGAACCAGTAGGTGAAAAAAGTCAGTAGGTGTGACACACACAGAACGATCTAGGCAAGGTAATAAACTGATTTAACATTTCTCTACCATGCCAATCACCAGTCAACTGCACAATTCAGTAAGTGACAATCATAGCCCTGTTTACTGATTGACAGTCTGGGCCTAAGTTCCATAGAAAAATTCCTCAACTATTCTTGCATACTGGAAATTCACTAGTAGAGTCATTTAAAGTGGGTTTTGCTCAATGAAAAATAAAATTGCATTATACAACCTGAACAGCAGTCATAGTATTAGTAATCTTCATGTTAAAGTCAGTTTGTTTATGCTGTCCCCACATCTTCATTTTTTGATATGCCAAAGATTTATATTGCCAGCACAACTGCATTGTAGAATCCGTCAGAAAGAAGCTGAAGGCTTTGACAGCTGAGCAAACAATAAAGGGCTGTGGGAAATGCACATTAGCTAGCTGTTTCTGCTAAAACAATGACCCATGAAATAAGTAAAAGTGTTGAGATTTAAACTGTCACCTTTTAGGCTTAGACATAAATCCATTGAAGTGCTTCTCAAGAGCTATTGCTTCAGAATGTCTTGATTCAGGCAGACATCAAAGAAACACAACTGTTATTCTCTTCACAGGCTTTCTTTGCAACCTAAGGGTACGTCTACATAGCAAAGAAAAACTCACAGCTGACCTGTGCCAGCAAACTTGGGCTCACAGGGCTTAGGGCTGCAAGGAAGTTTCATAGCTGTGTAGGCTTCCATCCTCAGGATGGAGCCCTTATACCCTCCAGGGCCCCAGATTTCTGGGCTTCGTCCTGAGCCTAGACGTCTACACAGCTATGAAACATCCCTGCAGCCTAAGCCAGAGATTTCTCTCTCTCTCTCTCGCTCGCTCTCGCTCTGTGTGTGTGTGTGTGTGTGTGTGTGTGTGTGTGTGTGTGTGCGCGCGCGCGCGCACACGCACACGCACACACACCCCCATAGGGGCTAGAAACATGTTTTATAAATGCAAGCTTGGAATCTGAATTTTGCAGCTAAGGCTATGTCTACACTGCAGAGCTTTTCCGGGATACCTCCCGTATCCTGGAAAAGCTATGCCGTGCCCAAGGAACACATCCACTTTTCTGGATCAGTTTCCAAAAAAGCGGACATGTTCTTTCGACATCCCTGTATTCCTCATTGTATGAAGAAGAAGGGATGCTCCGAAAGAGGAGGTTTTGCTGAAATTTGGCCCCATGTAGACTGGCCAAATTTCGGAAAACCCCGTTCTGAAAAAAAAAAAAAAAAAAAAAAAGGCGGAAAAAGATATGCAGATTGCGGTTTGCAATTTGCGTCTCTTTTTCCAACTTTTCTTTGCAGTCTAGACATAGCCTAAGTCTGCAGTCATGACATTGTGAAATATACATGACCTGCTTTTCTTGTACTCTCAGGTTTTAGAGTGGTCTCATCTCAGCCCATTATGCTATAGGACTCCCATTACCATAAAGGAACACAAGAGACCACTGACCTAAGAGCTTCACAAATATCAGTTGGCTGAATATGAGCAATACAACTTCTGCTTCAGATTTCTCACTTATTGTGGCAGTGCACGTAATCTACAGATTTTCTAACTACCAGAAATATTTCCAGAGGTCTGCAGAGTGCATCTAGCCTATGGTGACAAGAGCAGCTGTGACTTGCTATAAAACCAGCAAAACTAGTCAGAGGTAACAAGTACAAAATACTTTAAACCTGAACATCTAGTTATGGCAAAGGGAAAAAGAAGCCCTGAACAAATGCCTCAACACTCCTTGAAAGTACACAGCAGTCTGAGAAATACATTCAGTGTAAAACAGTTAATATTAGTGCTGTGGAAAAAATTATGTACTAAGGGTATGTCTACTCTTCAAATGTTACCATGATGCAGTTGCAATGGTGCAGTTGTGCCACTATAGAGCTCCAGTGTGGACAATACCTAACATGGATGGGAGAGATTCTTCTTTCCATGTAAGTAATTCACCTCTCTAAGAGGTGGTAGGTAGATTGACAGAAGAATTTTTAGTGTAGGGGTTAGGTTGATACCTACATCTCTTGGGGGTGTGGATTTTTCACACCCCTGAGACACAGCTATATCAATGTAAGTTCCTACCACAGACAAGGGCAACGAGATAGGACACTAAACCATCCACACAAGTCCAATTTATTCCCTCTCCCTTGCTTTCCTTTTCTCTTTAAAGCAACTTACGTTGTGTTTTGGTTCTTTAACCTGTTTTTAGGACGTCCTATTGGGTTGGCATAGCGTCGTTTTATCTGTGCTGCCTTCTTGTGTAAAAGTTTTCTTCCTTTCTTCCGTGGCCGGCATATTTGACATATCCACATACCTGTAAGACAAAAAACCTCATTACCAGATGAAAGGAAGAAATAGAAACAAGAAAAAGTACATGACTCTTCCAGAAATATAGTGAAAAACAGTCTGACTATAAGACTGTAAGAAAACTTTCATTCTATCTTAGCACCCTAAACTCAAACCCTCCCTTACTGGAAGTAGTCTCTCCAGAAAGGCTCTGTAGGCAAGTTTTTAAGCATTCTTCCTGCAAGGATAGAGGAGCTCAAGTAACAGATTATCACAAAAATAGCACAGAAGGAAATCCATTTAATGGAGTTCCTATTGTGCTTATGGATAGTGCCTCCAAACTAGGTGAAGACATCACCACACCCAGGGTGGCTAAAAATCAATGATTTTTTAAAATCAGATGTTTTTATTTTCTTTAAACCATTAATAAAATGATATATTTCTTATTTAAAATAACATTTACAATTAAATATTATCATACACATGCTACACCTACACTTATAGTCTCATAAAAATGAATTAATGGCTCTAGTCTGTCCAGTCTAACATCTTGAAAGTTCTGGGTCTTCAATTTCTGTTTCTCAGCAGACTAATATGTGCAAAGACAGACAAGTTGGATAGGATTGTTTTTGTTCTGTGCTTATGTGATGGTGGACCTGCACCAAGTACAGGAGAGTTAGTTAAGACATTGCCTAAAGCAGTGATGCCCTACTTCATCTCAGTGGGCCACAATAAATAAAACAGTCTCCCGGGATATGAGAGTTTTGCTAACTGCATGTGCATACCTAGGATTTTCAGAGTGTGCTGACTGAACTGTAACAGCACTTTGATTGGATGCAGAGAGAGGAAGTCAATGTTGTGTGTAATCAGCATGCACTTCCTGTCACGTGCCCTTGCTACATGTGCATGCCACTTCAGTAATGCCAGTTGGAAAAAAACTGTGTGAAAGGAAACCAACGGAATATGGCAACCTTGCATGTGGGCAACAGTAAATAAAATGTCTTGTGGGCCACACGTAGAACCCTGATGGGACATATGTAGCCCACGGGCTGCAAGTTGCACACTAGGGGCTTATCTAGACTACGCTAAAGTGTCGAAAGAGGATATGCAAATTCTGTGGGAATTTGCATATCTTCTTCAGACCTCACTTTCAAAAGCAGAGCGGCTTTCGAAAGCATGTGGCTTTTTTGGCAACCCCCCCTTTTTCGAGAAGCCATGTAAACCTTATTTTTTGAGGAAAATCTCTGATTTTGAATTCCCGCGGAAGGGGGGGGGGGGGGTTTCGCCAAAAAAGCTGTGTCCAAACTACTTTCACTTTCGAAAGCTTTGAAAGAAGATATGCAAATTCCCATGGAATCTGCATATCCATTTTCGACATGTTAGTGTAGTTAAGATAAGCCCTAATGGTCTATATAAAGACAGAGAGACGGTATATAGGAAAGGACAGAGGCAGCATAAAAAGGAACAGTGGAATGACTGAAAAGAAAACAGAAAGACATTATTGAGAACACACACAGCTTCCTATACTCCTCAATACTTTTGCCTGAAAAACTACTCATGGCTTCTGGGTGTAAAAGAGACCCTATCTGGGAATATTTTGAAGAAATTCGTTCCCTGGGTAAAACAGGAAAAACGTGTCAACTGTAAACAGTTCAAGATGGTGATGCAGGCCCTAGTGCAAGAATGAAAAATCATAAGGAAAACTTTCTCTTACTGGGAGAAAATGATGTGGATAGGTCTGAAGAATAATGTGGGTCAGCTTTGCAATGCATCATTCTTCAAGACTCTCTCTATGCCTTTTAGTATAAGTGTGCTTTAATAAGTACATTCCCAAGCAGTTTGCTATATTGGTTGTTCTTGGAAAAAAAGTTTAACTAAGCTAATCCTTATGGCTTATTTAATTAGTTAACTAGGTTTATGATCTATCATCCAAATACAGCTTCTCTCCGACTTACGAACCGGTTACGGACAAAGCAATTGGTCGTAACTCGGTTCATTCGTAAGTCGGAACCCACTGAGTTACACGCGACCGCACTGTCATAAGTGCGGACCGTGTTCGTAACTCGGGGTCTGCCATTTACGACAGCTTTGGTCATAACTGCGAATGTCCGTAAGTCGACCGTTCGCAACTTGGGGACCGGCTGTATACAGTACAGAAAACTGTAGTAAGAGAGTAAAGCTGCCAGGTGCTTCTGAGTAGGGTGTGAGCACGTGGCAACTCTGGGAGTCACTCTAGCCGGCCAGGGGTCCCAGCACACAACTGACCCAGGGGCTGCTCTGGCCGGCTGGGCCACCGGTTAACCGATATCGGGTAAGCATTAGCCTTACTGGAATGCTTACTGAATAACTGGTTAACTAAGTTTTGGAGGGGTAGCCGAGTTAGTCTGCAACTGGAAAAACTTAAACAACGAATAGTCTTGCAGCATCTGAGAGACTAACGAAACATGTAGATGGTATCATGAGCTTTCATTTTCTTATTTTATATTACATAACACGTGCCTCTTATTTTTAAACATCATGGTCACAGGCCATAATGGTGATGCCATAAGTCCATTCCCGATTTTACTTCAGCATAACTCAAATACATTCTATACTTGTTTTCAATGGGACTTACTCCAAAATGTAGTGTACTCTAAGCATAGTCAGTCTTAACTTTTTTGATAATTCGGAATAAAATCTGCATCAAAGTGGGAGTGGGGAAGATGAGAGCTAGTTGTAGGAGTTTTAAGGATACCGCACATTTAGCGTTTGGAGGACTGTTTGTAAGAGTTAATAACATTTGAGGGGAAAAAAGAGTTTAAGGAGAGCCATTAGCTAGCAACTCAGAAGACTGCTGCAACTGCAAATTTATATAACATCCAACGTTTAGTTTAATAAATGGTAAGTGCTATTGTGTTTGTGCGTATGATTTAGTTCTTACCATTCCTAATGTACTGCTGCTATCCCTGCAGCTTGACACAGGTAATAAATATTATGTACTATTTCCTAAATTAATAAAGTTATTTTTAAAAACTGCACAAAGTATACCCTTATAGATTTTGTAAAATGCTGTCCTGAGTTGTAAATTAGTATGTTTTAGTGATCAGAGTTGCACCATTGTTGGAAGAAAGATGTGAAAAAGTATCAGTGGGAAACCTGATTTAAATCACCTTAATTTAAAAATCAATCCACCCTGACTATACTTTGGGGGAAGACTCCTGCCTAGATTTCCCTTACATGGGGCCTTGCGATATGAGATGAGCCGAATAAATTAAGCTTATGCTCTAGGAGCTACTAACTGCACAAACAGAAATATCTGATGCCACTTCAAGGACTGCATGTCAGTTCCTTTCTTCTACATAAAGCTACTCACTCAGGTAGATAATGATAATCTGCTACCATAATCTCTGTCCCCTCAGACCTCTGAAAACTTTTAAACCAGGAATTGAACATTTTGATTATTTCTACTGAAAACAGGAGAGGAAGAAAATAAAGGATTCTTATCTGCAGGTTATATGGGAAGCAGGGGCTCAGCTCACACTACGCCTTTTGAAAAATCATGCAATGGGTGAGATAAACATAGATCAGGAGGAGAGGAGATTCTCCTCTGACACAAGGGTCCTTTCAATTCATCTCTCCCCCAACATCTCTTAATTCCCCGGCTTGTTACAAAGAGTGCTCACCTTTCGGCATCCTGGTGAGAGGGGGGTCACAGCACTCCATATGAAAGCCTCGGTCACACGAGTCACAAAACAGCATGTTATCCTATAGAAGAGTCAGACAATTCTGGTTAGCTTTACAGCAGGGCACTGAAGCGGGCCCAGTCTCTGATGCTACTGGCCCCCCATCAGGCTATGTCACATTCCCAACTATAAACGTAAACAGTGCTGTTTAGCTTGGAGTCTCACAAGGTAATCAAAGATAAGTCAAGTGGAAGTTGTTAATGTCTGGTTCCAGAAGTACTCACTGCATTTTTGCCTTGATCTCGACAGGAGCTACAAGTTTTGCACTCGATGCACTGCCATCGTAAGGCCTTCACTCGAACTGTTAGCTCTGGAGAGAACTTCAAACAGGACGGATGACCTATGAAAAAAAAGATAGATAATCCCAGTGAAGCAATTCTGCTCTTGGACTGACAGAGTGGAGGTCTTATTAGTCATCTCTTTCACATACAGTTTCAGATATCCAGAAGCTCCTTCTGGTTCAACACAGATCTCACCAGGACTTCGTGCTCCAGCTCACATATATTTACAGCTCACAGCCAGATACATTGCATTGTCTGGCAATCCCTTCCCTAATTGAATAGATTTGGACTTAACTGAAGAAATGTCTGTGTGTGGACTTATCCTTTCCCATGGAGACAAATCAAGATCTTTTTTATAACTGAATTGCCCTTTGTATAGGTTGAATCTCTCTACTCTGGCAACATCTGTGGTCTGGAATGACTCAGCTGGATGTCCACTTACCATGGGTGTGACCAAATTTCCCGTGGTACCATAAAGTTTGTTTATAGCCACCAGTCATGGGTTTCAGTGTTCTGTGCTGTTATTTAGCTCTAAATTACCCCTAAAGGTCTTCTAACAGCCCAGTAAAGATTCTATGACTTTCTGTGGTCTGGAAAATTCTCTGGTTCGGAACCAGTCAGGTCCCAAGGGTGCTAGACTAGAGAAGTTGAACCTGTATATAATTTTGAACACATGAGCAGGTATCTCCCAGGAGAGGTTTCTGTAAACTGCTAACGACATTTTCTGTAGTTATTTACAACTAATTTTAGATCAGAGCCTCACGGCATTCACATTATAACTACATGTCCCTGCTGCCAATAGTTTACAATCTAAATACAGGACAAAGTACAACAGATGAATACAAATAAGTGGAGAGAGCATAAAGAAATAAGGAGATAGTACAGGTTGCCAATTAAGCAGCAGTCATAGTATATCAGGTATCTAACCACTGCCACGTTTTTGCAGACACTATGGCAGAACAGTTTTAAGGTGGGATTTGCAAGGGGACAACAAGGTGACTTTGTAGATGTTTATGGAGAGATTCTCCCAGGCATATGCTGCAGCATGAGACACAAATTTTCAAACACACACATCTGGGCTAGCAAAGAAGAACATAATAGCATAAGAACGATCATACTGGGTCAGACCAAAGGTCCATCTAGCCCAGTATCCTGTCTTCTGACAGTGGCCAATGCCCCAGAAGGAGTGAACAGAAACAGGTAATCATCAAGTGATCAAATGGACAAAGAACGCTGTCATCTTTGGTGGTAGAGGAGATTTTAGGCCATGAAGGTGAAGAGAAGATAAGTAGTTTGCATTTGATACGGGGTATAGAAGAAATAGCAGTGAGCCTGAAAATTCATGTTTGTAGTGAGCATTCTGAATAGATATAAATGAAGCAAAATAGGATGAGTTAAACCCAGAGAGGAGAAGGTTGCAATAGCAAGGTATGAGATGAGGAAAACCTGGATAAGAAGCTTTTCTGTGTGGATGGAGAGGCAGGATCTTAGAAAAGTTATGCAAGAAGTAGTTAAAATATTTAGAGTGGCCAGTATGGTCAATAGGAGAGTTGATTCAGTGCTGCAGGTAAAATGAGGTGAGGGAAAGGAGATGAGCAGCTAAAGGATCAAGTGAGTCATCAACATGGAACAAATTCAGAGAGCATGAGGAGAGACAGATTTTGGAGAAGTCCTACGGCCTGGCCTGTGTTGTACAGGAGGTTGTACCAGATGATCACAATAGTCCCTTCTGGCCCTGAAATTTATGAAGAGACAACTGTAATCATGTAGTCAGACTTCCTGTGTAATACAGGCCACAGAACTTCCACAAAATAATTCCCAGAGCAGAGCTTTTAGAGAAAAAAAAATTCAGATCCTGATTTTAAAAATTGCAGCAATAGAGAATCCACCATGGTAAATTGTTCCAATAGTTAATTACTCTCATTATTTAAAAGTTGCACCTTCAGGAGGCCTTGGATGAGTGTGAGTATAAATGCATGAAGTTAGCAAAGCACTTAAGTACCTACTTAAATGCCTATGTGCTTTGTTGAATTGGGGTCACAGAGATGACAAAACTGGCCATAGAGAAGATAGCTTTCTAAAAAGTTTATCAAGGGCTTCTGAACTAATTATGTGCCAGTTAAATTCCACTATGCCCCAAGCTGAAGAAGCACAAAGATCAGCTAGCCAAACACTATTGTTCCCCATCCAGGACAGTCATGCAGCTATCATCTCATACTAGATATAATACTTATCATACATATCATACTAGATCTTCCTGTTCCAGAGATACAATTGCTTCCAGGAGCACTGTAAGTGGCCACCTACCACTGTTGCCACAATCAGCGCAAGAGATAAGCTCCTCGGGTTTCTTCTCACGATTCTGTTCTTTTGTACCAAGGCAGAAACTGCAGATTGGGATTGGTTCAGCAACTGGCTGTGAGGAAAAAGCAGAAATCAAAACACTCAATGTATCAGTCTATATCTTTTTGTCCGCATTTTCAAATAATTATACAACTTACATAGTTTGCAGAGGAAATATTACACAATGATATATCGTGTGGATATCACTAAGTTGTATAATTTACACAGTATGGAATTGTAGCTTTAAGAGCAAATTAACATACATATAAAATTCCATTAGGAAACTACATCAAGAGAACATGGAGATTGCAGTTTAAGCAATTAATCTTAGTTTTGGTGCATCCCAGCTTTAATTCTGTACATTCAGAGTGACCCCCTTAGTACATCTGCATTTTGATACAGTTTTTAATTACACAACCACACTCTCTAATATATCATACAATCTTCAATGTTCATTACATGGATGCAACTCTATGCCAGAAAGACACATCTGTGCCTCTCATTTATATATAAGATGATTCAATGTGACTGGAGCAACCTATGCACGCACTGAACAGAGACTGAGTTGTACTCTCCTCAGTGACCACCAGATGGAAGCACTCAAAACAAAGCTTGTAGAAAATTCCTACAGTGTAGTGTGTATCTTGGGGCTAGAAGCTAACTGCACAACAGGACCTAGAAAGGGATGACTATTTGGCAGAGAGGGGGAAATGTACAGATAAGATCAGTTGTTTTAACCCTCAGCCTTAGGTTAAGGAAATTTTCAGAGTAATCTACTGAGAAAAGTCTCCAAGGTTAGTTCTTGGGAACTATGGGACCTGCCTGTACACTAATTTCTGTTATGTGAATGGAGATATTTTAGAAAATTATCTTTACTCTTCCTTTTTTATTCTCCTGTTAGATTTTTTTGTGTCCAACTGCCTCTCCTTAACTGCAGTGTCCTCTTACCATGCTGCACGTAGTCTTCCACATATAAATTACCTCATTATTAAACAAAGATGATCTCTGCCATAACACTATCACCTATCTCTTACATAGCTATTTTCATCATTAGATCACATAGCACTTTACAAAAGAGGCAAAGTATCATCATCTGCATTTTAAAAGTGGGGATATTGAGGCACAAAGAAAAGTGACTTGCCCAAGGTCACATGGCAAGCCAGTGGCAGAGCTGGAAACAAAACTCATCTCTCTCTAACCCTAGTCTTGCACTCTATCCTCTGGGCCACTGCAGCTCCTTCTCAATAAAAATCCCAACGAAAACAGCTGTCCTCCCCTTTCAAAGCAATGATACATGCAGTACAATGTTTTTAGGATTTAAACTCATCAAAACACTGCTGACATTTTTAATTCATTATTTATAATCAGTGATCTAATCATTAACATTTTAAATCAGAAAATATTGCTCATTCATGAGCTTTTTTTAAACCTACCACTTTAATTTGTTTTGAATCCTACCCATCTACTCCTGCCAGCAACCTGCTCACTAAAGACCAATTCTCATGCTGAATTTCATTGTGCCCTTTCTCTCATCTGCCCTCCAAAGACAGATTTTGTTTCACCTGAAGTTCTATTTTCATAATGAATCTGAACATATCAGAATAACCTTTCAGAGACAAATTTGTACATGAAGCAATAAATGCAGCTGTTAACACAAAACTATTTTACAACTAACCATTAGACAATGAATAATATCTGTACTGTAGATTTCCAATTTGGTCAGAATTAAAGCTTACATGATACTAATGTTCCTTTGATTACATCCTATTTCACAGAAGCAATGTAACTGGAGAGTTTTACAATGACATTGAAGTTGTGGTTTTATATTAAGCTACTTTGTTTCACAACACTACCAACTCAAAAAGCAAAATTTAAACAATTAAGGATATTTTGCAGGTTTGCTTTGAACATAAGAGCTCTGTTCTGCTACAACAGAGCTGAGACAGACTCCATATGAATAAACTTATGCTTGTTTTAAGACTGAATTTAGTGAAGCCTCATCATTTTTAAAAGGGCTATAGGCAGTGTTCACTGTAAACTGTGCGCCTATGAGCCTGCTCAGGAGAGATTAAAATGCTACCCAGCAGAGCAACACAGCTAGGTTTTTTGTTTCTGCTGGTGGTGTACATTTGTACATTCCTCGGTGTACATAAATTTATTCTGCACATGGATGAAAAAGTCTGAACATGGATGGAAAAGATTAAAGAGAATGTTGACTGTAGGATTAAAAAAAATTACTTCATAAATTTAAATAAGCATACGTGTGAAAGCTACAAAAATGTTCAAATCTCACACTAAGCAATCATCTGGAAATGTGAATTGCTAATGAAAATTACATAGAAAGACGTCATCATTGCATATACAATGCTAAAAGAATGCAGAACTGTAATTAAACTACTAGCAGCCTGCTCTCCACCTTGTATGTATATGTGCATCAAAGAGATGCCAGGAGACTGCAAGTACATATACCGCACAAGTATCCAGCACAAAAGGACAAAGAACCAGGAAATCAAAAGTGGAGCACTACACACAGTTCTGGTGATTACAGTAAAAATCCATGTATTTCCTCTGACATTCTAGAGTTACCTCAGCTGTAGTCTAATGGACTAAACACCTAGCTTAGAGTCAGAAGACCTGTTGTATTCCCATCTCTGCTACTGACCCATCGTATCACCTTGAACAAGTCACTTAACCCATTGGTATGTAAGCCTTTCTGTAAAAATGAGGGTGACACCACCCACTTTTAGAAAGAATTTTGAGATCTTTCAATTTAAAGAACTATACTAATAATATAATAAAGTCCTCAAAGGTGTATAAGTGACAAAAAACAATGATTTTGTGACACAAACCAGATTTTAATTCCTTCTCCCAAGACATTAGTTTGTTCATTTTGTATACATGCACTGCAGTATTGGCACTAAAGCATATTCTCTCTTTCAGTTGTTCAATACAATGTTATAGAACAGGGGTCTCAAACTCATGGCCCATGGGCCATCTATGGCTGGAGCATTTTCATAATCTGGCCTGGAATCCCGGCAGCCTGGGAGAAAAAGGGGGAGTGTCCATCTCGATTTCTCAAACCCCACCCTTGCTGGCTACTGCCCTGTCCCCCCACCATTGCACTCCATCCCTCGAAGTATGTGGCCTCAGGGATTACTGTGGGGCCTGGCACAGAGCAGCAGGGTTTGGGTCCCCGCTACTTGCTGTGTCAGAGAGAGCCACAGGGAAGCAAAGAGTACTCGGTGTGTGTACTTGCTCCACTTCTTTATGGCTCTCTCTGACGCAGTGAGTAGAGGGGGCCCAACCCTTGCTGCCCCGTGCCACGGATGGAGTACAATGGGGGGTAGGGAGGAGGTGGTGGCAGGAAAGGACAGGGCTTGGGAGAGGGGGACAGAAACATACACACCAGACTAGAGACATTAGCATATAGTCATTTAAATGACTGACGGATAAGCATAGCCTGTATCAGAGGCAGTGGGGAAGAGGCAGGAGCTGGTGCCCATGGGGCCGGGAGTGCATTGGCTGCCAGCCCTAGCAAGCATTTCAGTAACCTGTAACCTCTAAAAAGTGTTGCGGTTACACAATTACTAAAATTACCAATATCTAACATCCCTAATAAGCATGCTGTATGAGCTTCAATGTCTGGGAGGCCTTTAACACCAGCTCCCAATATGATAGATCACAGCAATAAGTAGCTAAATACTGTGGGGGAGGGGGGGGGGACGACATGGGACAGGACAAGTTCTTTAGGAAAGCTCCAGGTAGACAATATATTCTGGATCTGATTACTATGGCTACCACCTCATTTCACTAAGGCTACCTCTACACTTAAAATGCTAGAGTGGCACAGCTGAAGCTGCTCAGCTGTAGCACTTCAGTGCAGACACTCACGATAGCAAGGGGAGTGACTGTCTTGTGACTGTAGTTAATTCTCCCGAGAGACAGTAATTAGGTCCACGTAAGAATTTTTCCATCGACACAGCACTGTCTAAGTCACCAGGACCAGATGGCATTCACCCAAGAGTTCTGAAAGAACTCAAATGGGAAATTACAGAACTATTAACTGTGGTTTGTAATCTATCCTTTAAATCAGCTTCCATACCTAATGACTGGAAGATAGCTAACATGACACCAATATTTAAAAAGGGCTCTACAGGTGATCCTGGCAATTATCGACCAATAAGTGTAACATCAGTTCTAGGCAAATTAGTTGAAACTACAGTAAAAAATAAAATTGTCAGACACATAGATGAACATAATTTGTTGGGGGAAAGTCAACATGGTTTCTTTAAAGGGAAATCATGCCTTACTAATCTGCTAGAGTTCTTTGAAGGGGTCAACAAACATGTGGACAAGGGGGATCCAATGGATATAGTATACTTAGATTTCCAGGAAACAATAATGATTAGGGGTTTGGAACGGGTCTCATATGAAGTGAGATTAAAAAGACTTGGACTTTTCATTTTAGCAAAAAGGAGACGGGGGAGGGGGGAATATGATAAGAGGTCTATAAAATCATGACTGGTGTGGAAAAAGTAAATAAGGAAAAGTTATTTACTTATTCCAACAATATAAGAAAAAACAGTTACTTACCTGTAACTGCTGTTTTTCCAAGATGTGTTGCTCATGACCATTTGAATGAGGTGTGCATGCATGCCATGTGCACAGTTCCCGCAGCATTTTTTCCCCAGCGGTACTCGTCGGGTTGGCAGGTCGCCCCCTGGAGTGGCGCCCAAGATAACGGTGCGTAAGTACCCCCTGCTGGCCCTCTCCCTCCTCAGTTCCTTCTTGCCAGAGACTCCGACAAAGGAGAGGCGGGAGGGGGAGGGGAATCGAATGGACATGAGCAACGCATCTCGAAGAACAAGTTACAAGTAAGCAGCTGTTATTTCTTCTTCAAGTCCATTCGAACGAGGTGACTCCCTAGCCCAAACACCAGGAGGTGGGGTCGGAGGCGTGATGAAGAATAATTCAGAACTACCTTTCATCTAACATGTTTTTGTTTGTTTTACAGAACTGAACTTAAAATTGTGGAGCCCAGGACTGCATCACTCCTGGCCTGTTGTGAAATGG